AAGCAAATAGTGCAGTGAGCAGAAGAAAATACAAAACAGAAATTATTAGTATCCTCAGAGAGATAAGAGAAGATATTGTATCCATGAAATAGGATGCTATAAATGCTATATAAAAAAGAAATAATAAAAGAAAGAGAAATGACACTGGGAAAATAAAACATGAGAGCCAAAATAAAATAAAAAAGTCAATAGAAAGGTTGAGAGGTAATGAAAAGTAAATTTCCCAGAGGATGTACCAAAAAGACAAAGAGATGGAAAACAGGAAAGATAAGAAAATTAAAGGATCAATCAAGAGGCCCAATATCTGACTGAAAATTTTCTAGGGATTCCAGGGAAAGCAGAAGGGAGTTAATTATCAAAGATATGAAGTGAGGATATTTCATATTGAAGGACATGAATCTTCAGAATGAGAGGGACCAATACAAATGAAAAACAACCACCCTAAGGCATCTCATTACAAAATATCAGAATACCAGGGATAAAGAGAAGACCCTAAATGTTTTGAAGGTGGAGAGAACAGATTATATACACATCACCAAGAATCAGAATGGTTTCAGATACCTCAGTGGCAACACTTGAAGCTAGAAGATGAGGGAGCCATGCCTTCAAAATTCTGGTGGAAAACTATTTCCAACTTACTGTTCCATATACAGTCAAATCAGAAGTGAGGATAGAATAAAGACATTCTCAGACATGTGTAAATGGGTATAAAAAGGGTATAAAATTTTACTTCCTATGTGTCCTTTCTTAGGAAGTGACTAGAAGAGGTGTTTCACTAAAGTGAGGGCATTATCCAAGATAGAAAAGACTTGCAAACCAGGAATCAGGCTCTTCAGCACAGGAGGACAGCTATGCAGCTGGCCTAGAAAGCAACTAGTCCCAAATTAAAAGGGAGGAGGAAGATTCCAGGAGGTGAGTCACTAGCAAAACAAAAGGAACTGATAGATTATGTGACTGTGTAGAAAAAGCATTTTACAAGTCTGCTGGAATGTTTGAGGAGATTTCACAATATGTACGTAGAACTAAGCAAATGAGGAAAAGATAGGCAATTGTCAACTCCAGGAAAACCAAAAATATGTACAGAGAAATAAACTTAATTATAGTATACCATTTGGTTCAGCAATGGGCAATATCTATAAAGTAGTGAGAATGTAAACCCCAAAAAAGAGATATTATATCCCAGATTTTAATTTAACTAAAAATTTAGAAGTTGTGATAAAACTATATTGAATGGATGGAGACAGGAAATGGAGCTGGGTAGTGTAAGAGAATTAATACTCATCTAGTGTATTAGGGGTTGTGGAGGACATTACTAGTATTCACTAATATCTGGTTTTCCTTGCTTCTGGGCACATAGAAGACTGTACTTCTCAACCCCTTGTCATTGGGTGGAGCCACGTGACTAGTTCTGGTCAGTCACCTGCAGCTGTTTCTTTTCCTCTGTGTTAATCAAGGAGGACTTGGGTTAAGATGGCAGAGCCACAAGTCTGAAACGAACTGGCATTGCCTTATGGAATATAGCTGTCCTGGAGACACTGCATGGAGTCTGAAAGGATAAGAAATAAACTTATTATTGTGTGAAGCCACTGAAATATTTGTTACTGCTGTGTAGCCTGGCTTAACTGATACAAACTTCAACACATACTGTCTAAAACTGATAAATTAAGAAATAGCCAACTATGCATATTACTTAGAATTATGGAGATAATCACTAGAAGAATAATTAAACATATTAAAAATGTTGCCTTTGGGGAGCAGGAAAGAGGAGTTAGGAACCTGTTTTCATTTATAGTACTATATGACTTTTTTACACAAAGTAATTTGTAATTGCATTACATTGGCAAAGAAAATTTTATAAAAATCTGTGTGTGTGTGTGTGTGTGTGTGTGTGTGTGTGTGTGTGTGTTGGAAGGATTCCCACCAAACCATTACAGTGGCTTTCCTTAGCAGGAAGGACATGCTAGACTGGGCATCTGAGGAACTACAGATCTGGTGGGACATGGAAGGCACTATGGGGAAGGAGTCTACCCCATTGGAATGCAGTCTGAGGGGTCTGATTTTCATCCAGATGGCAATGGAGAGTCGTGGAAGACTAATAAGCCGTAGAGTATTCTGAGCAAATCTACTTTTGTAGTGAGCACCCTGACTTACCTGGACGATGAATTGTGGGGGAGGGAGGAGGCTGCATGGTCTCCGTGAGAGCCTGGACTAAGACCTGCACGCAAACAAATGTCTATCAAGGGCCTGCTGTTTGCCAGGTGCTATTGGTATGCCCAGCCATGCAGCAGGGAACAAAATGGACCAAGTCCCCTCCCTTTCGGGGAGATTACATGGGTGAGAGAGGCAAACGGAGAGAAAAGAAGTATAAGTCAGGTGGTGGCTCGTGCTATAAAGAAAAATGAAGCAGTTTAAGGAGACGGAGAGATGGAGGGGAGAGGGGTATTTAGACAGGGCGGCCAGGCGTGGCCTCTCTGTGGAGGTGACATTTGAATAGAGTCCTGAATTAAGGGAAGGAGCAAGTCATGCAAAATGTGGGGTTCCAGGCTGAAGGAAGAGCAGTCCAGAGGACCTGAGGTGGGAATGGGCTTGCTGTGCCCCAAGGAACTGCAGAGAGGCCAATGGGGTGGGGGCGGGGCACATCTGGCAAGGGGAAAGTTCTGGGAGCCGAGGCCCTGAGAGGTGGTAGGAACCAGTTCATGGAATACGGAGAGAACCCCAGGGAGCTCCTGGGGGGGTTGAGAGTGGGAGAACGGCATGATTTGTCCCAAGAGGCCAGTAGGGCCAGGCTTGGCAGTCGGTTAGTTGAGGAGGATGTGGGGGCACTGGTTAGGACGGGAGCCTCTGGGGCTCTGCCCAGCAGTCAGTGCGGTGCCACTCAGCCCTGCCTGGACCAGCTACAGCAGCTTCATCACCCACTTCCCAGCATCCCAGCCCCCTCTGGGAATTGAAGGATCCTCACAAATCAAAATAGCAGGCAAAGAACAGCCGCTAATTGTTCTGCGTAAAAGAAGCGAAATTAGACGAGTCAGCTGTGGGGTTGAGACCGCCTCCCACACAGCTGTGATCCCGCACCCCGCTGAAGACAGGCTTCCCGAGACTTGCAATTCTGCTGTCTCTGAGCAAAACTTTCTGCTTCTCCAGCCCTGGGGCAAATGACAGCTATTCGGGGAGGGAGTGAGACAGATGCTGGCCCTGGAGGACAATGAGAGAGTCCATTTTTTTTTTTTTAACTGAAAAAAATCAGTCCCTTCATGAAGGAAGAGATTTCGCTGATACGAATTAATTCAGTCATTTAAAACACATTGGGGGCACTCAGTGTGCATTCATTGCACGTTCTCACAGTTGCCACAACAGTGTCCTGGGTACCCAGGGCCAGCGTGGTAGCAGGGGGTTTCTAGAGGGGTGGAGGCAGGCAGTGTGGTTCCACCTTTGGGGCAGAGTGGAAAGAGAGCACTGGTCTGGGAGTCAGGAGGTCTAAGTTCTCGCCTTGGCTCTGCCACTGTGGCTGTGTGATCTTGGGTGAGCCATGACCCCTCTCTGGGCTTCAGTTTCCCTGTCTTTTCTCAAGATGGGCTTTAGGCCACGTGGTGTTTCTCAAACTTTAGAGCCCATAAGAATCACTTGCGGGTGGTGCTTGTTAAAGATTTCTGGGACACCTGGCTGGCTCACATGGTAGAGCATGTGATGTGACTCTTGATATCGGGGTTGTGAGTTCAAGCCCCACGTTGGGCCTAGAGCTTACTTAAAAAAAAACAAAAACAAAAAAACAGATGAAGATTGCTAGGCCTGGGTGCCATAGATTCAGATTTTAGTAGGTCTGAGGTGGGGTCCAAGTCTGTACTTCTAGGAATTCTGAAGGGAGTCCTTGGACCATACTTGCATAAAATCACTTTCCCTCAATCTCTCAAGGGCTCTTCCTGCTCTGAAATTTGAGGAGTCATTCGTGCAACCCTTCTCTGGGTTTCTCAGATCACTCTAGGGGCATGAAAGAAGTCCTATTCCCTGCCTCGGTGTACCTGTGTGTTTCTGCGCCGATCACATTGCACTGGGACAGTATTTCAGTGTATGCAGCCCCCGCTCCCCCCCTCCCCAGGATGTCCTGTGCCCAGCACAGGCCCTGGTACAGAGAGGGCCATGATGGAAATGTAGGCCAAACAAGCGGGCAGCTGTGGTGCAGGCAGCTGCATGGCAGCGTAGATCATGGAGGGATGTTTCAGGTGCAGGAAGGCTTAGTTGCAGACATCTGGCTTGGACACCGGGGCTCATGCCTTGGGTTGGATGTATGGGTGAGTCCAGCTGCATGGGGATAAGAAGGTCTGGAAGGAACCACAGGAAGGACTGGGAGCCCTGGTCCACCATACAGGGCATCCCAGGAGGTCCAAGGCCCCAGCCAGTCTGCTAGGCAGAGTCCCTTCCTCAGAGCTGGCCAGTCATATTTCCAAAAGGTCAGTGGAAGAAGCCAGAGGGTCAGGTCACTCTCGTATAGTCCCCAGCTTCATTGTTCACATATGAAGAATAATAACTATCATATAGTGAGCCCTTGCATGCTTTGGGCTCAGGGATACGTGCTGTATGATCTATGAACTCTATGAGGTTGGTAAAAGCATCACTCCCTTTTTACAATTTACAGACTCTGAGGCTTAGAGAGTTCAAATTACCAGCCCAGAGTCCCTCTGTTACTAACTAGTAGAAGCAGGGTTAGAACCTAGACCTGTTTTCCTCTGGAGCCCAGTTTTGTTTTTAACCATGTTGCTTAGTACCCCTCAGATGACAAAGGATTTTTTCCTAAAATACTTTCTGCCAAAGTCACCCACAGCCAGAGAAATCCTTTTGCATCTGTTATAGTGAGAAGGAGTGATGCTGAGTCAGAGTGTTTAGGGTTCTAGTCCCACCTCTGCCACTGACCTTCTGTGTGTGACTTTGGGCAAATCATTTCCTCTGAGTCTCATGTGCAACTGAAATCTGTGAAATGGGGACGATTACACACGCACTTCCTTTTAAGGTACACTAAGATGAAGACAGCCACCAACATCTATATCTTCAACCTGGCCCTGGCAGATGCACTGGCCACCAGCACACTGCCCTTCCAGAGTGCCAAGTACCTGATGGAGACATGGCCCTTTGGAGAACTGCTCTGCAAGGTTGTGCTCTCCATTGACTACTACAACATGTTCACCAGCATCTTCACACTCACCATGATGAGTGTCGACCGCTATATTGCTGTCTGCCACCCTGTCAAGGCCCTGGACTTCCGCACACCTGCCAAGGCCAAGCTGATCAACATCTGCATCTGGGTCCTGGCCTCAGGTGTTGGTGTACCCATCATGGTCATGGCCGTGACCCGCCCCCGGGGTGAGTGAGTGAGGAAGCTTTGGTACAGCCACTGACCACAGAAGGCAGCATGGGGGCCCCTGTGGGTATGCAGGCCACTTACTAGAGTGGATGTAGTTGGCTCCATACCAGTAGAGGTGTGGATTGCTGATCAAAGTGTGGGTGGCTGGCTAGTGAGAGGGTGTGTAGTCAACCAATTGGACATGAATGGTTGACTATTGTGACAACGGATGACTGGTCAGTGGTCAGATGGGTTGCTGGCCAACGGAAATTTATGAATGGGATGGTGGAGGGTTGATCTATGGGGATGTAGCAGCTGGCCAGGAGTGTGTGGATGACTGGCTTAAAGGGAGATGGGTGGCCAATTGGGTGAGGGTGTCACTGACCAGGGAGCAGCGGAGGCCATAAGATCTACAGTCTCCTCCCAAATGCCCTTCCACCCCAGTTTGAAAACCACTGGCCCAGATGACCAAAGCAAGCCCTAGAGAATGGCCGTTAGAGAATAACAGGTACATTCCCTCAGAGTAAAAATGGTAACTAGTTTAGTAACTACTTCTATCAGTCAGGGTGGCAGCTGTAACAAGCAATCCCCAAAGCTCAGTGCTTAGCAGTATAGTTTATTTCTCACTCATATCACCGTCTAACGTGAATCAGAGGAGGAGGAGCTCTTATTCCACAGTTCTTCAGGAACCCAGGCTCCTAAAGAAGGTTTTGGAATCCTCCACTGCTGGCATTTGGCCAGCAGATGAATATGGAGAAGGAGTGATAGAGTATGGCCAACATTTAGACGTTATGGCCCATCTCCTCCTAGTGATAGCTGGTTATGTGGCTCCTGCTTGACATAAGGAAGTGGGACAGAAAGTAGTTTTAACCACGTTAAAGACCTTGGTCACTAACCTATCTGAGCCACACTGTATCATGGGGTGTTGAGAGGATTAAATGAGGCTCTATGTGTAAAATATTCAGGACAAGGCAGGAATACATCCAGAATCAGAGAGGTCAGGTGGCTTACTTAGGGTCACGTGGCTAGGCATTTGATGGAACTTGGCCTAGCACCCAAGGCTCCTGCCCTTGTATCTGTTACTCCTATTGCCCCCTGAGTTGGAGGTCTGCAGAGGGTCGTGCTGTGGGTGGAAGGGGAATAGGTTTGGTGGGAGGCCTTTTGACCACCTTAACCATCACATACAGCTTCCCTGTAATTGGTCTTGACTCAGCAGCTGGGCCCCATTGCTCACTGCCAGCCTTCAGTTTATGGGCCATTAACTGTAGCCCTGCTAGGGGTCAGACCAGATGGGCCTCCTCTCTCCGCACTCCATCCCCTGCACATCCTCCCCGCTCAGCACTTGGTTCTGTATGCAGCTTGCTGTGTGACCTTGGACAAGTGCTGTTCCTCTCTGAGCCTTGTTCTGCCATCTGCACAATGAAGTCCTTGGACTCAGTCATCCCTGGGGGTCCTGCCATCCTGGTGTCCAGTGGACCCCCTCTGTGGATCCCCAGCACCCTTTCTACAACTCTCAGGATCCAAGTCCACAGCATGGCTCCTCAAATCCCAGAGTTCCAAGAGATCTTGGGAGCTCCCCAGGAGAGTCTCAGGCCTGTTTCTGAATCCCAAAACATCCACTAAGGTGCTCATCCAGCCCACACCCACACTCCAGGAACAGGGAGCTCATTCCACCCTGGGTACACCTGGGGACAAATCTAGCAGTCAGCTCTTCTTGCCATTAAGCTGAGATCTGCCTCCCTGACCTAGCCCTGACTTCTGGACTCCTATATGTATCTGTCCCTCTGCCCTGTGACTACACCAAGAGCTTGAACCACCTTGTACTAATGTTTCACATGCCGTAGCCTATTGAATCCTTGCAACAACCCTGTGAGGCTTAAGTACTGTTATCAGTCCTACTTTGTGGAAGCTCTCCTAGAGGCTGAATAATTTGCCCAGGTTCACACCACAGGTTTAGTAAGGCCTGAGTTCTCTTAATTCATGCTCTCTAGGTCAATCTTAGCAGTATTGTCCCCATTGCAGCTAGTCTGGAAATGGGTAGGGTGTTTTGAGTTCTCACAACAACTGGCATTTGGGGGCTTTGGGCTAAACTATATGATTGCTGCTGGCCATGGATGTAGAGGCTTTGGAAGGGACTGGAAGAAAATATAGAAAGGAGACCTCCTAGATTAGGGCCAATCCCGCTGGGGTCTTTAAGGATGAGTAGGAGTTCATCAAGTACAGAAGTGTAAGAGGACATTTCAGACAGAAGAATTACCTTGAGCAAAGGCCAGGAGGAGGCGTGGGACCTGCCCAAACCAAGAAGGGTAGCAAGCAGGCAGGGTATGCTCAGGCCCACACAACCCTCACCTGCTGTCTGTCTCTCCTTGTTTCCCCGGCAGACGGGGCAGTGGTATGCACCCTCCAGTTCCCCAGCCCCAGCTGGTACTGGGATACGGTGACCAAGATCTGCGTGTTCCTCTTCGCCTTCGTCGTGCCCATCCTCATCATCACCGTGTGCTACGGCCTGATGCTGCTGCGCCTGCGCAGCGTGCGCCTACTCTCCGGCTCCAAGGAGAAGGACCGAAGCTTGCGGCGCATCACGCGCATGGTGCTCGTGGTGGTGGGTGCCTTCGTGGTGTGCTGGGCGCCCATCCACATCTTCGTCATCGTCTGGACGCTGGTGGACATCGACCGCCGCGACCCGCTCGTGGTGGCCGCGCTGCACCTGTGCATCGCCCTCGGCTACGCCAACAGCAGCCTCAACCCCGTGCTCTACGCCTTCCTCGACGAGAACTTCAAGCGCTGCTTCCGCCAGCTCTGCCGCATGCCCTGCGGCCGCCCGGAGCGGAGCAGCTTTAGCCGCGCCCGCGAAACCACGGCCCGCGAACGGGTCACCGCCTGCACCCCGTCCGACGGTCCCGGCGGGGGGGCTGCCGCGTGACCGCGCCGGCCCGCCCCGCCGCCGTCCTCCCACTCCCCGGGGTGACCTGGCCGACTCCCCGGGCTCGCAGGGGGCGGGGCCGCGACGCGGAGTGGGGCGAACAGGGCCCCTGTTTTGGAGAAGGGGGCCCGTGCTGGAGCGGAGGCAGGGGCCGAGAGACTGGAGCCCCTGCGAGGGAGGGGGGGGCGGGGTGGACCTCGGGTGCGGGGCGGGGCACCGGGCAAGGCGGTGGCGCGGTGCCTCCGGGCTGGGTGGGGGCGCGGTCGGCTTGGTGTTGGGTGAGAAGAGCTGGCGACCCTGGTGGAGCAGGGCCTGTGGCTCTGGGACTCGGCAGCTCAAACGGGGCCTCTGCGGTGAGCCAGCTTCCGGTTCTGGCCAGAGCAGGCTTGCTGGCCTGGGACCTGAAGAACTGGGCCCGGGACCCAGGGAGCAGTGCTAGAGTTGGAGGCTTGACAAAGGGGCTGCAAGAGTGGGTCTCTGTGTGGTGGGGCCGGGCCTCTTCTGGGGGCGAGGGGGACGGACAGGACAGTGAGGCGGCCTGCGGCTCAAGATTGGGTCATGAGGATAGGATAGGGCCTGTGTGCAGGGGGTGGGCGCCTCAACCTTGGGGTAGAGTCCCAAGCCCTGAGTTCTAGCAAGAGGCGGGGCTTGCCGAGCCCTAGGTCCAACTGGACTTTATAAATAAAGAGAAAATAAAACAGAGAGGGAGAGAGAATATACCTTTTCTGTCCTTGACAGCCATTTTCTTGGAATGGCTTCAGCAGCGACGTAGTGTCCCCAGCACTTTGTGCCAGTGGGCCCTGGGACATGACAGTGGAGCAGGGCTAGCGGCTTCAGGCAGGGCCTCAGCTGGGGTAGGGTCTCCAGCCCTGAGCTCTGTGGGGCTAAGAAGGAGGTCCTGCAGCTCCAACACCAGAGCTACAAGTCAGCCTCTGAGCCAAGGGCGGTGGGCGGGCAGAGCTGAGGCTGGGGAACTTCCGCTGTGACATTAGGTCCTCAAGCCGGGAAGACAGGCAGCTTGTGTGTGTGTGTGTGTGTGTGTGGGGGGGGGGGGGGGTCCCAGGGGCCTGACTTCTCTGCCCAGGTGCAGACCGCCGAGACATGCCCAGTTAGAGCTCCATGGACCCTGGGACTGGATAGGGGCATCTGAAGCACCAATGTGGATTTTTCTCCTCCCAGTCTTGGGTGTCTGTGCAGGGAGTCCTCCAGGAGAAATCCTCTCCTTCTCCAGCCCCTGGCTGCGCCCATTGGTGTCCAGTGTTTCCAATTTGGCACCACCACCCCGCCCAGCCCCGCTTATCCCAGCTGCCCCCTTCAAGCTGCGGAGGGCGAGTCCACCCCGAGCAAGGCATAGAGGTTTTTCTCTTCATGTGTTTGGCATTTTATTCAGGCATTCCAGATCTTTGCTTTCCTAGATATGATTCTGTCACCACCCTGAGCCCTGCCCCCGTGCTTCCATCGCCCTCTCCGCCCCTCCCCCCACAGGCGCACACACCCCTGACTCCCTATTGAAGCAGTGAGCTGACATCCTTGTAGAAACAAATTAACTTTCTTCCCTTTTTGGGACAGATGGAGAGAAATTGACGTCTTTGTCTCAAACCACAAAAAAAAAAAAAAAAAAAAAAAAGAAACAAGATACCTCTTTTTCTCTTTCTCTTTGACAGTCATTTCCTAGGAACAAAAGCCTTTCCCTTGTCTGGCTGACTGTCACTCCAGCAGGGGCTGAACTGACATTCAGGAGGTTGCGGGCTTAGGCACCAGGTTGAGCTTTGCACATTAGGGATAGGGATGCCCTTAGTTGACAAAGCACAGCCCCCTTCTCAGGGTGAGGCCCCAGAAGCTCCAGACCTGGGAATTTTCTTCCTCCAGCAAATGGCTCCAGTAGCACCCGGGAAGATGTAGGACAGTGCCCAGTGACCATAGAGACTTCTGTGTCTGAATGGGGGTTGGGGGTGTATCAGCAAGGTGGGGCGCTCCTCATCACATGGGACTCCTCTTACTAATGCCTTTGAGAGATGTCACAGAGAGGGGACAATTTAGGAACTGGGGAACACTTCTGAAGAAGGTGACATTGGAGTCAGGGCTGTTGATTCTCTCTGCAAGGACTGTGTCCCCTTCCGCTCGCTCTCAAGGCTGCTCTGGGTCTGCTCACTGCCATTTCCTATGGCTGTAACAGATCTGGCTGCTCTTTACTACTTCTCATACATAAATTTGTCCAAATTTGTCCTGGGGTCAGCAGAGGCTGCGTCCAGGCCAGGTGCATCTAGGGTAAAGCAAACATACTGAAATCGACATCACGCCAGGGGCTGTGCACACTGGGCACTGGGACTTGGAAATAAGTCAGATACAGCCCTGCCCTCAGAAAGTTCAAGCCCATGCTGGAAGACAAGGCATGAACAGATCATTGCATCTCAGTGTGATGCATGCAGTGACTGCAAGCCCCAGGGAGAGTGTTGTAGGGAAGTGCCTTTCCTAGCTTTATACTAAAACACATTCATAACAATTCTAGAAGAGAAAAGAGTCAGTCAAAGGATCTTAAAGGAAGAGTAGGAGTTGGCTACCAAGAAGAGGGAACAGCATGTGCAAAAGCATGGAAATGTTCCGGTGCTTGGTGAACCTGAGAAAAGCTGTGTGCATTTGAAGCGTGGGGCTTAACCGAGCCCTTCCGAGTGCTAGGCTCTGAGCCAAGCACTTTATGAACGTTATCCCATCCGATCCTCATGAGAGCCCAGTTTACACAAGAGGCTCAGAGAGGTCAATCCACTCACCCCTCCGTCACAGAGCCTGTTAGTGGTGGCAGAACTCAGGTCAGTAGGACTCTAGGGTCCAAGGTTCTGGTGAAGCCCAGGCATCATTGAAATAGAAGAGCCTTAATTGCTGGAACCCTGGGATGAGGATTTTCGAAGACTTCAAACCAAATGGAAAAATCTGAAGGAAAAGGGCAATTTTCCATGACCTTTTGTTCCTCCTGAAGCTCTCCAAATCTTCACATTTCAAAATGTACAGTGCATGATGCATTTTAAAGCTCCAAATTGACAGTGTAATTCTAGATCATCACAGGGCTCTCAAAAGTGAAGTAGGTCTGATTTCCCCCAAGGTTTCCATTCCTCTCTCTTCAGGAGGTAGAAGCAAGTTTTTGCTTCTGGCTTCAAAATGCCCTACAATTTCGTATCTTTTCTTGTAACAGAAGTAGTGGTGAAAGCTGGAGTCAGATTTTGGCTTTCCCTCTCTGTGCCTCAGTTTCCTGCTCTGCAGAATGGACTTCCTTTACAAGGTTGTTGTGAGGATTTAATGAGTTAATGTATAGATGGGGTCCAGAGCACAGGTAAGCTCTTAGCACATGGTAAGTAGCTCTTATTACCTAGAAGTGGAGCTGCAGAACAAGGTCAGAGCTGGAGACCTAGAGGGAAAAGTTGATGAGCTTTCAGGGACAGCAATGAAGAGAAAAGAGACGGGGGACCCACCCTGGGGATCCCCCTGCTTTCTAGGCTCAGGAACCACAGTGGAGAGTGAGAAGCTGCCTGAGAAGCAGGAGGAGGATGGGGAGAATGTGTTGCCATGGAAACTGGAGGAGGAGGGCGTTCCCGGGGGGGGGAGGGAATGATGGATAATGTCAGGTGTCATAGAAGAGAGATTGGAGGTGGGGAGGGCAGGAGGGTGATGGGAATAAACGACAGCCTTCAAGTTGAGTTTCCTATGTGGCTTGGGAAGGCCTAAATCTGGATTCAAAGCTCTGAAGCTAACTGGCTGTGTGACCTAGGCAAGGGATTTGCCCTCTCTGAGTTTATGTTTTCTCTTAGCTCTAAGACGAGGGAATGGATGGGTCTCTAGTATGATGTTCAGTCTCTAATAAGAGTCCTGGTTTTGCTGGATTCTTGACTGCTTGCCAGCAGTATGATCTTAGGCAGGTAACTTCACTTCCACGAGCCCCATCTGAAGACTAGGGATGTGGTGAGGGAGGTGCCTGCCAAAGTGCCTGGCACATAGTAGGCCCCCAATACAGAATTATTCTGTGACAATAGTGGGGAGCCAGAGGCAGCTGTCTAAGGAGGATTGCTTAGCTTGGAATTTGAAATGCTCCTCAAGGTGGAGGAAGCCCCCAGGGCCCCGAGAGGACTTGGAGGAGCATGGTCCAGACTGAGCCCCCACCAGGCCTCTGCCCAAAGGCCAACCTCTCTGTTTTCAGCAGTGGATCCTTAGCCTGGCCTCTGGCCACCTTCTCTGCCTGGACCTACTGCAGATCCAGGCTGGGAACCAGCTCAGAGGCTCCAAACCCCTAGGGAGTGACCCCATTCCCACCCCCACCTCCAGAACATGGTCCCAGCACTCACACACAGCACTACACACAACTTTCTCTTGTCACTTATTTATTCATTATTATTTTTTAATTCCTGGGCACTGAGCACATAGTGCTGGCGGCTCCGGGGAGTGTGGGGAGAGAGGGCCTGGGCCCGACCCCAACTCCGAGCTTACAGATGTTGGGGGACCGGAGGAGACTGGGGACTAGCACAGCCCGCTGTGGGGTTCTGGCAGCAGGCAGCTTGAGAGTTGAAAATGGGGCCCAGAGGGGCTGGTGAGAGCCTTCGTTTATCCTGACATGGTAGAGCGCTGGGCTGGGTGCTGCGCGGGTTCTGGCCCCATCAGCAGTGCCGGCCATGAGCCCCCCACCTGGTGCAGAGTGCTCTCCCACCCACCTCAGTGAGAGGCCAGTAGAGCAAGAATAGTGTGCGATACACAGCCCCCGTCTCTGTTCCAAGCACTTTACATGGGTAATTTATTTCATCTTCACAGCATGACTATGAGGTAGGCACTATTACAATGATTACCCCTACGTTACAGATGAGGAAACTGAGGCTCAGCGAGGGGAGTGGCCTGCCCAAGGCCACATGGCTTGCCCATGGCTGCGCCAGCTAGGATCCCATCTTAGATCGGTCAAGTTCACTTCCTCTGCTTTCCCCCGCCTTCCTCCCACGAGGAAACTGATTACGCAGAGGGCACTG